TGTACGTGCCAACCGTCATAAAGTCTCTTGTCATTGATGGAAACATCTCTTCTGCCGGTCACCACTTTCCGGCCAGGTGTATGGGGGGTTCCGGTCGGGGCAGACCTGAGCCTACTAAGTTCGACTTATGGATGACTCCTGCAGACTCTAGTGAGGTTTTGATCAATATGGAGGGATTGGTAATGACCCCAATCAACGATACTGGATGCGATAACAAGGTGGCCCGGGACCTATGCTATCAGCTGCAGTGGAAGCCCTTGATTAAAGTCGAACAAGCTACTACTGGAGAAGCGATTCAGACAAAGCAATCCAATGGCCATAGCAAGCCACACGCCATTGAACATGTTAATGGACACGGACATGGAAATTACTGCCAGGACAACAAGTCCAAAGACGAAATCCTTATTGTCACTTTTGGCGACTGTGCACTTGCAGCCGAGCAAGTGCAAGAGGTCATCTCCACCAAAGCCATTCGCTGGTCAACGTCTATCTCGTCACTGACTGACTGTGACGCGAAGCAGAAACGGCAGCATGTTATCATCCTGCAGACTGCGGTCAAAACCCTGCGTGACCTTACTGTCGCAGACTTTGCCAACGTCCAGCAAATTCTTCTCAGCTCAACGAATCTTATTTGGGTCTACCGCAACGACACTCCTGACTCTCAGATGATCGTTGGCCTCATGCGTAGCTTGCGTTCCGAAACTGATGCCAAGGCTGCCACCCTTGGACTGAGCGCTGAGGATCTGGAGAGGCCAGCTGGCCCTATCTTGGCTGCTATGAAGGCCCTCTGGCCGACCGGGAAGACTTTCAGTTCCTGTACTGACTTCGAATTTATTACCAAGAATGGCGAGCTTATGGTCCCTCGTATCGTTAGTGATAACGCTCTTGATGAATTCGTGAGGAAGGAGACCAGTGACGATCTCACTCTTGAAACACAACTATTCGTTCAACCCGGCCGCCGCTTCAAGCTTGAAATAGAAAGCCACAGCGCTCTTGATACTCTTTACTTTACAGACGATGATGTCGAAGCCCTGGGTGACGATGAAATTGAAATCGAGGTCCATGCTACCGGTCTCAACTTCAAGGATGTTGCCGTCACCATGGGACAACTCACCCAACCTTACATTGGTATTGAGTGCAGTGGCGTCGTCACATCTGTTGGTAAGAAGGTTACCAATTTGATGATTGGCGAGCGAGTTATGGCTCTACCTCTTGGCGCATACTCTACCTTCGCCCGCTGCAAGGCAACCAGCGCGACTGCCATACCCGAAACCCTTTCATTCGAGGTTGCCGCCAGCGTACCCGTCGTCTTCTGCACTGCTTACTATGCCCTTTATGAGCTTGCTCGCCTCCAACACGGAGTCGGCGAGAAGGTACTCATTCACGCCGCCGCCGGTGGTGTCGGGCAGGCGGCCATTATGCTGGCCCAAATCGCCTCAGCCGAGATCTATGCAACCGTTGGAAGCGCCGAGAAGAAGGACCTCCTTATTTCAAAGTACGGTATCCGTGCAGACCACATCTTCTACAGTCGTGATGCGTCCTTTGGCCGCAGCATTCGCGAGCTCACATGCGGCGGGGTTGATATAGTACTCAACTCCCTCGCTGGGGATCTTCTCCGCGAAAGCTGGGAGTGTCTCGCACCGTTTGGCAGATTCATTGAGATCGGCAAGGCGGACATCACCAAGAACACGCGCCTGGACATGCTACCTTTCGAGAACAACCTCTCGTTCCATTCAGTCGATCTTACTAAGGTCGCTGCTTACAAGCCTCGGTTGATGCATCAGTTGCTGGATAAGGTTTCTTGGCTTCTGGCCAAGGGCTTCATCCACTCCGTCTTTCCTCTGTCCGTCTGCCCTATCGCTGAGATTGAAGGCGCGTTCCGGGCTTTGCAGACCGGAAAGTCGATGGGTAAAACTGTGGTAGTCCCGAGAGAAGGCGATCGGGTCAGAGCTGTGGTCGCTAAGACGCGCGATGATATCCTCAGAACAGATGCCACGTACGTTGTTATTGGGGGTACTGGTGGTCTCGGCCGAAGCATAGCGAGGTGGATGTCACAAAAGGGCGCTCGCAATATCGTGCTTGCGTCCCGACGCGGCATTGTCGACATCCCTGTACAGACATTAATAAATGCCCTGCGTCCCAGCGGCACAAATATTGTGGTGAAGGCTTGCGACGTGAGCAATCGCACGTCCCTTGACGCCATGCTGAAGGACCTGGAAGACCTTCCGCCAATTCGCGGCGTTATTCACGGTGCAATGGTTCTACGGGTAAGGCTCCTCTGACCAGAAATTCTCCAATCAAATTGACATTGTCTAGGATATGCTCTTCGAGAACATGCACTTCGCGGATTTCCAGGCTGTGGCGGACAGCAAGGTCTCGGGAGCCTGGAATCTCCACCACGCCCTCGCCCCCCACCCCCTTGACTTCTTCGTTGCCCTCTCCTCTGTCTCCGGTGTAGTCGGTAACAAAGGACAAGCAGCCTACGCCGCCGCCAACGTATTCCTAGACGGCTTCATGGAGTGGCGCCGCAGCCAAGGTCTCCCCGGCACAAGCCTTGCCCTCACGGCGGTAAGGGACGCAGGTTACCTCGCCACAGTAGACGTCGCGCGCCGAGCAGAGATCCTGCGCACCATCGGTACGGAGGGCATGACCGAGGCGGAAGTGTTGGCCCTGCTCGCTGCGGCTTTGACCGGAGACCTTTCCCCTCAAACAATTACTGGGTTGGCGTCTTCGACACGACAACCCCTCTGGCCGCAAGACGCCAAGTTTGAGCTCCTAGCCCCCAAGGCCTACGGAGGTGAGGAAGATGTAGCCGACGAGGGAATTTCTCAACCACTCCACGTGCAACTCACCAATGCAGCCTCCAAGGAAGAGAAAGTGCAAGTCTGCTACGAAGCTTTGGCGGCAAAGCTGGCTCAGGTACTGGTCTTGAATCTAGAGGACATCGAACCATCGCTTTCTGTGTCCGCACTGGGTCTTGACTCACTGGTTGCTATTGAGCTTCGGAGTTGGATTGCACGTGAGGCGAGGGCTAATGTGCAGGTTCTGGAGCTTTTGTCCACGGGTACGTTGGGGGCGGTGGCTGAGCTTATTGTGAGTAAGTCAGGGATATAATCACTTTCTGTACGATATGAATCTTAGTTCTTGTGTTGTATAATATGAAATTTTTGGATATCGTGAGAATTATCCGTTGTGAAAGCGTATGATTGTGTGATCTGTACTGCTGATGTTGATGACTACCGCGACTGGGAAGATTACAAGACCGGAATTCTTTACTATGTTGTGCTGTTGATCGCACTCTTGCATATTTTCCGGTTAGATAAGACGATAGAGAAGCTAATAGACAAGGATATAACAGAGGTCCGAAGATTGATACAAGAAATTCATTGATACGGAATACTTGGTTGGCGTACCTACATTTATGTGTGGCTATAACTTAGCATACGAAGCTCCCAAAAATATCAGTTCACTCCCAACTTAGACAGTACTGTGCCTACATCGCCAACATTACCGGAGTTTTATGATATGGATCAACCAGGAGGATCAGATTTGATTTAAATCGGAGAAGAGGTTGCAAAAATGGCCAAATTCAAGATGTACATGAAGAATTGGTTGAAGGTAAGTGCTAGACCACCCACATACTGGGGGGGTTGTGGCTGATGCGGGCATCCTACCAATGTGGCTGCCTGTGGAGATGAACCCTCAAGAGGCAAGAACAATTTTGCAACATCATCATAAAAACAATATCATCAGCTGATCTGGTACATACGACCACAGGGTGTGGAAAACAGGGCTTCCCGTCCGCTCAGCCGTACTTAAGCCACACGCCGGGAGGTTAGTAGTTGGGTGGGTGACCACCAGCGAATCCCTTCTGTTGTATGTTTTTATGCCTCTCTTTTTCATCATGCTCTGAAATCAAATGTTGCCTTTCTGTATACTCCAAACCTATGTCACGTCATTATGCGTGGCTGCAAAAAGTCCATTCGGGTCCCAGTGCTGTCTAACCCTCACCAACCGTCAGATTTTGTATCGCACCAGCACCATTTAAACCTCTACCCATACTACGTTTGATTGCTTGTTATGTATGTCCTAAGCCAAACCTTATTGCTCAGATGTTATCAATCGGTTTTGCCCAGTTCACTCTGACATTGGCGAGACAGTTATCCATCATGTTTAGGGGTGGGCCCAGTCTTAAAATGCGAAAACCTCAAGGTCGTGATCCTCTACACCATGCATTGCCCGCAGATGTTGCCGGGCCGTAATACTGACTGGTCGGCATGTATCAATGGCGAGGAAGATATTCGCCCTGCTTACCTTAAGGCCAGCTATCTGATTCCAATAATGCACTCGAATGCTTGGCATAGTAGAAATTGTGATGTTAGTTAGGCCTTGCCACATTACGTAGGCTACCTGCACTAAATCTAAAATATTCCAGCTGGCAGCGGTTGGTTACCAATGTCAGAATCCCAGGTTATTGTGCATTAAGATATGTAACTTATTTCTAGAGCATATGCACTGATCGGTGAGCCCACCGCAACGCCCACCCGAGAGCCCCCCTCATTATCTCTGTGGAACTCGCTTGCCTCGGCAGTGATGGAGATTCGAATCTAGTCTCCTGAGTGCCATTCTCGAAGTTCGCAGACAATTAAGCTAACAGGACATACTACTAGTAGGTGCTATGTGAGTGTGAAACTTAATAAACACATTTCATAGCTAGTATTACTCGTAGCTAGGTGGGAACCAAACATTAGTGATCAATTTCCCTTAATTGGCTCCCGCGAAGAGCTCCATCCAAATTCCTGGATATCCTCAAAACGGCCCTCAATCACCTGTTCTATCTCAGAATCCATCTTGAGCTTCCCATCCTCCAATGACTTCAGGAGTACCTAAAGAGCCTGCTCATAATGGGCCGCATGATCCATTACGCGGAAACTTTTGATAGTGACCGTCATACTGGAAATCTCAAACCAATTCTTAATGCCGTGCTGTCATTGTCGGATTTATTGTAGTTGGCAATTGTGCCACACCCTGCGATGCGGCCAAATCGAGCCATGCAAAGTGAGCATTAGGTCCAGAATATATCCACCAACATTGACAAAGTCTGGTGTCGCCTTCACCAGATACTGAGCAATGTTTGGTGATCTGTAGTTCAAGCAGACATCTGCGCCCAGAGACTCCACCCATTCGCACTTCGAATCGGACCCTGCTGTGCCAATGACTATCTTGCAGCCGATGACCTTTTTGGCAAGCTGCACAACCATGCTTCCGGTTGCACCTGCCGCACCAGACACGACGACGATATCATCTTTGGTCGCTTGGGCGATATTATTAATTCCAAAGTAGGCCGTTAGGCCTGTAATTCCAAGAGCACCAAGATGATGTGTCACGCTCGGTTCGTTAGGCAGTGGCGGGAGTTTGGTGCACAGTTGCGCGTCCACTACCGCATAAACCGACCACCTGGTCCATGCCCGGACCAGGTCGCCTTTTCTTAGAGCGTTGGCGTTGGGTTCGACGATTTCTGCAATGGCAAATGTTCGCATAGGTTCTCCTTCGGGAAGCTGGGGAACATGAAGGCGTTCGTTTTCTGTATTGGCATCGATCCAGCCACGCTGGGAGGGGTCGTTTGAGAAATACAGCGTCTTGATGAGAACCTCGCCATTCTGTGGTGCACCGCAATTGGCTTCATTGAGTGCGAAAGTAGCGTCAGGTCCATGAAAAATGGGTGGGTCGTCTCCCTTTTTTGAAGGACCCATTGGCGAGATTTAACCATATCAAGCTAGGTTTAGACAAGAGGTTGCACTCTCCAAAGATTGCACAGCGATATGTGCTTTAGTCTAGACAATGTACCTATCATTACTATATTTGTATGGCGTTCTCGACCCTTTCATGGTTGTTGATTCGAAATCACGCCGGCAGGGTGGGTAGTCCGGCGGTGGCGGGTGGGTGCGCCGGCCATCTTACTTATCCCTTGGACATTGTGTAATCTGCAAATATCAGGTGCTACTTAGCTGAGTAAATCGACTTTTATATTGTGGACTTATCAGGGCAAATAATTTCAGCGTCATGGGTCGCCATGGGTACTCAAAGTGTTTGATATGTAGAGTTGAACGTGCAGGATACCATTGCTCCATGAACGAAGGAATCAACGGGACCCCTTCAATAAGTATGAGATACCTAACAATGACCCGTAAAGAGAGACCAATACATTATTATATGATTATCAGATCTTGTGCAAGGTTTTATGATCGACTTCATATACGGTGACTCCGCCGGAGTGCCCACCGATCTTTGGTACTCCCAGCCGTACCCACTAGCTCAACTGATGCTGCAGCAACTCTACTTCCATCCGCGTTAAGAGTAGTAGGCTCGTGGGTGACCGTAAGGAAATTACTTATGTTTTATGTTCAAGATAGTCTTTATGAGCTCAAATAGAAAGATTTCACTGTTCACTCACTTCATTTCACATCGGTCCGTTATGCGTAGCTGCGAACAGTCCATCCGGGTCCCAGTGGTGTCGAATTTTCATCAGACGTTTAGTGTTTTCTTCACCCCAGTACCACTTCGGGTCCTCGTTCAGATCTGAGTCACCCAAGTAGTGACCGACTATGCTTGGCCGTATTCTCTGCATTATATCCCGCAGACGCTTCTTATACTGCTTGGCGCTGACAGCATCCTCGCAGATTAGATGAATTACAAAATAATGGTTTGCCTGTATCCCTTTTGCCATACCGGCTATCTCGTGGTCACTGCTTGGAAACCTGGGCGTCCAGCCAGCCCATGACTTGCTTTGTGGCAACGTCAAAAATGCTTCCTGAAGCACAGATATAGCGTCACATTCGTTATTCAATAAGACATTATCGGTGATGTAATAATATCCAGGCGGGCTACTTTTCTTGATCGCTGCAAATTGGCTCATGAGACTGTCTTTCTCACAGAACCATTCGCTAATGGCACCCGAAGGCCGTGCTTCATCGATAATACGAAGAGCCTGTTCAGCGTCGGAGCATGACTTCTCCATCGCAAAGAATTGCACTGTCAAGCATATGTCGTCATCTGACTCCGAATGCATGGCCCTCAGCAGTATATCGATATCGGGAGACGTTTTCGATACCATTGATTGCGCCCAGGTGAAGATCTCGCGATACCGGTGGCTAGGGTAGACGTATCCGGAGGAGCGAACACCTTCTGCGTGGAAAGGTGATGCTTGTAGGTAAAAATTTGTCACGACGCCTGGAAAAGCTAGAAAGAAAATGAGCCCACGATATCAACTAGTGACAATCGTAACCCACCCGGTCCTGCACCCCTCGCCGCCCAGTAGAGTTCCTGGTTCTGCAAACGATTGCAAAGAAGAAGCTTGCCATTTGCAGTCACAACTTCAACTGCCTCAAGGCTTTCACAGGCCCAGCCCAACCTCTATATCCATTAGCGGAAATTGGAAGCACGATAAGGTTGAGTTCTTACCCGATAATTCCATCCCGAACCGCCCTGTAGCATATACCCACCCAGACCAACATCCGGATGATGCGCAGCAGTGAAGAACAGGCCGCGTTTATTCAAATGCTTACTGATCTCCCCGCTTGTTACAGCAGGGGTTGCTCGAACAATCTTCGTCTCATTGTCGATGTCCAGCTCCTTCCAGTAGCCCAGGTCAAGCAAGATGGAGTTCGGATGAAGGCTCCAGACAGGATGCGAATGTCCTCCAGCACGCACTGCCACCTGGCAATTTTTCTGTTTCGCTAGACTGATGGTCTTTATTACGTCATTCGTTGTTCTGGCATGGACGATAGCTAATGGGTAATATGGTGGTATGTCTTTTGTGAATATCCCTCGGAGGCGTGCGGCTTCATAGTCGGTTTCTTCTGCCGTGTCGCGCCAGATAATATGCATGGTTCCGACAGCAAGCAAGTGCTACGATCCCAAAAACTGCTTGTTATCCAATGCACTAGTTCTACAAGGGAAATTGAGTTAATTTGTAGACAGACAACACTATACCAGGATGGCGATGTTGATATGACGATCTGTCTAAGCCTGAGCCTTATCTTGGAGTTGCCACCAACCGGCATATTTGGAAATTTGAACCGTTACCATAGTAAATAGCGCATGTTCGGACGCGCAGGCTTACACAAAGCATAGAACAGGGAAAGTTGATGATCTCAGGCAAGAATATTAGTGGAGCAAAACTGGGGCGAATGCTACCGTTCAACAGTACAATGGGCCGAGGGGAACAAAGGATGGCTGTAAGGGGAAACAGACTTTCTATGTGACGGCGACACTTATCCAATACTGATACAAATTATTCCAATACGCCTCCTGCGTCACTGAATGCTTGACTTTATAGGAGAAAGGTGCTTGTAAGTATGACTCATCCAGTTGCGATCTTCACCTCTATGCTCTTCCCCCGATAAGGTCAAGATACTTGACCCTTAAACCTCATTTCCCATTTGAGATGGTAGTATAGTTCATGTAACCAGTGTTAAGAGATATATGCCCGGGATTTGGGTGTCTTCATATGCAGGTCTAACTTGAACTTATCATGGTTCGTCCGCCCCGATTGAAGCATCTATTTTCCTAATGAAGCTAAAGACATGGGAAACGATTTCCGAAAAATATCCAAATTAGGCGTATTAGATACAGAATATGCTGCTATTATCTTGATCCAGGACCATGTTCTTACTTGGATAATCAACCGCAGGTAAAAGCTTCGTGCTCGTATCAGTCGCAATAAACTTCAAGTCGACTGACCTAGACTCAATGATATTGAGTTTCTTCTAAATCAGGATTGAACTCATGTATTGAACAAACCAACATTCAGTAAGATCTTCCTTGGTTTGGCGAATATTTCGAGTTGTAAAGCTTACACGTCATGGACGAATCTCCAATTATCGCCTTTTAGCTTCAGTCCACGAGATTGACTGAATCCAACGAACCTAGATCATTCAATATAGGCGGATATGACAGAAGGTTTAAAATGCTTTTCTTTCGTCTACTTTTGATGGCTTCCAATAATAAAAAAAAGTCTTTTTGCCTTTTGTAAGGGTCACGAATTGATATGACCCAATGGTGTGAGATAAATTACTTCTTGGCTCCTTCAAAGTATACTGGGGTTCTCAGTGGGCAATGTAAGATAATTTGTTTTAACGAGCGAAAGCAGAATCTAAGTATTGACACTTATCTCTGATCTTAATATCCATTTTGCTACTTCTGCCGCCATATCCCATATCACGGTAAATTTGATTCGATAATACGCTGCTGTGGGGATAACGTGAGGGGAGGGCATTAGGTTTTATAGGGAACAAACATCAATGACTCGAATGAACTCATAACAACAAAAATCAAAATCAACCAAACCATAGAGCCCGTTATTGCGATCTGTAGCAAAATAGTGGAAAGAGTCATGGCTCCCTATGAATCAATTGGGTATTCTTTCGCGTGCCTCCAGGGGAACATGTGGAGATTTTGGGCGTTGAGGAGATTAACATAGGAGTTCAATGCGCTCACCATTGCAAGAAAGTCCTCACGTGCCTCCTCCTGATTGGAGTTTTTCTCAACATTCTCTTTGATGAGCTTTTCAATGCTCTCGTAACTGTCATTGACGTATTCTGCTCCTAGATGGCCAACAAAATCGGCGATTGATGGAACGAAATCCCGGAAAAGCACGATCAGATGCCTCAAGGTAAATTCAGAACGCGTAAACGCCAATTTTATGATGTTGTCGAGAACATGATATCCAAGTGTTCGTATCACACTGTTAGAAAACACCATGGCACCAAAGTATGACTCCTTTGACCCAGGCCTTTCTGGTGCCTTACCACAATGAATCTTTTCAATGTCCTCGGATATATCCGACCAACACTTTTGCGTCTGTGTCACTTTCTTTAGCCAGTTGTCACCAATCAAAACCATCAGGTACATACCTCGGTATGAATCTCATCGACGAGCTTCTTTACCTCCTTACTCACACCAGCCCTCTGATGTCTGAAAAGGTCCAGCTTATTGGGATCAGGCTCCGGCTTTGAAGCATCCCATAGAACTACCTCAGTAGGGTGCTTTCTTGTCTCACACTGACATTTCCAAACTTCGTCCGCAACCCAGCGCAATTTATCCATATCTTCATCAATAACTTTCCCACAAGTAGCCACCGGCTGGTGCTCGGTTACCTCACCATACTTGATCACAAAATGCTGGAATGACGAGAGAAATACCGAGCCGTCAGGCTCTTTCGCCCTATCAGGAGCCTTCTTGTCGGCAGGTGTATACTTTGCGCAGTTAGTAAGATGACTCTCTTTGTGACATAAGCCACTCACAATCAGCTGTTCTGACGGAATCAAGTGATATAGCTGGTCGCCGGCAACAACGGCATGTGTTTGGAGGGAGCGATAGGGTAGGGCAGTTTCAAGTAAACCAACTAGTGTTGGGTTTGCATCATTAATTTTCACCGTGATTGTTGTATTGAGCTTCGGCCATTTGATTTTGACTTCATTAAGATGCTGAACCTGTGAACCATTCGGGATGCGCATCATGTAACGGCAGCGATGTAGGCTGGAATTCTGAAATCCTGAAGATATGCTTGAGCCTTGGGTGACTTATACATAGATCATTTTCGTGGGGGCTCGATAGTATAAATATTCATTTTACGAAAAGCCTTCCTACTACAAGGGCGAAGGTTACTTGAATATGATCATTGTGAGGTAAGGTAGCCTCGATCCCCTCATTGTTTGTGAGGGATCTGCGAAATATTGTGGTCTAATTGTATATTCACTCGACGAACACTCCTCCAAGAATTCACGTAACAGGGTAAGTCATAGAGAGCGGTCATAACAAGCTAAGGCACGAAGCTACCGGCATGTTCCAAGCTTAATACATGTCACGAATTCTTGGTCGGAAAAGCCTACTCGTTTGCCCAATCATTGTGTCGGCCGATGTGTACCATACTACAACAGGGGAATGGCCTAGATAGGAAAGACTAAACCAAGTATTCTGTAACGCAACTTAGTTCATAGAAATGCCCAGAGCTGCGAAGACCGACATCCTTCGCCATCAGAGCCGCAGCCTTGAAAACCGTTCAGCAAAACCGGTAGTTCACCGAGACAGAGACATGGTACCGTGGTTCGATTATGCACGGACACGTTTATCCACTGTATCAGGGGGGAAAGGATAGAATACAGTGCTCTTTGTTCTTCGGAAAACTTGGCAAAGGTAAAGTTATATGCCACCTCCGTCATATCATGTGACTTGTGGTTTGTTTCCTGGAGAGCTACACTGTGGAGGTACGCGGGTTTAAGAGATACTGTTTCAGGAGTACTGGTTTATAAGAGAGACTACATTGTAGAGAATGTTGAGATTTAGCAGTCGGCCTCAATTGAAGAAATTGAACAAAAATCACGGACGGCGGTATCCAGGTACGAGCTACTATTATCATTTATCACCATCCTTCCGGGATTGAATGCCGAGAGGCGTCTGGATCTAACTAGGTCCAATAATCACAAAGAATCGACAAATTGTTTGATTGCATTACAAGATGTCTGGAACCGATCCAAATGAGCTGGAAGGCGATCCTTATCGACACACATGCCTCGTCCCCTACGTGGACCCTGACACGGCTCCCCCAAATATCCAAGAAAGACTCAAAGTGCTGCCCTTTCGACGAAATATTCTCCTAACGTTAGCTCACTCACACGGTTTATTTCCTCATATCAGCGGCCTACTTGGTGCTTGTTTTGACGGAAACCAGCGCAGTATTCCAGTGCATGAGTGGCAATTGATAGTGTTACGCGTCGGTACCATTCTCCAGGCGAAGTATGAGATCGACGTCAATAAGCCCGTGGCCGAGGTCTTTGGGTTTCCTCAAGAGAAGTTTGACGCCATCGGATGCTGTATTGAGGATGTGATGAGAGGTCAGGGGCCATGGAGTGATCGAGATAGGGTAATTCTCCGCATGACCGAAGAACAGTTGAGCACCTATGACAATAAGCCGGAAACAATTGAGGATGCTTTGAAGTCGCTGTCAGTTGGGGATGTGGTAGAGGTTCTATTGATCATTGGGGTGTACGCCACGTTGGCCCGAGTGATAAAAGGTCTCAAAGTCGACGAAGACGAACCGATTCCCGATCTAAAGGAAAAGATCAAGACTGCAATCACCGGATGAAGCATGCATTCGGTGGATCGTCTTAAGAGGTCATCATAAGGCTTTCAGATAAATAGATAAAAGACCTTCACTCAGTGTGCGAGAATGAGGCAGAGTGAAGGGAATACCCTAAGAGCTCACTATACTCGGTTGAGAATAAATTCCGCGGAGTCGCTAACCACAAACCATCCGTTTTCGGTAGGGTTGCATCGTTGGATGGGTATCCGCATCACCACCCAGTTACCGCTTACATCTAGAACAGAGTCAATTGCGTAACGATTAGGCTGAACAAAGATCAAGATGCTTCTATTGTAAGCTTATGGGGTTAACTTACGCCAAGGTATATAAATATACGCTGGTATTCTAGACCCAGAGGCAGTCTGCGTTGTTCTCACCCTAAACTTTGAAAAGCTTATTTCTTCGTCTCCCAGAGTAGTATACCTATACTGTACCTCAACCTTGACCTAGCTTATCATCAAGCACTTGCAGATCCTTCCCGTACAGACCTTCAACAAGCATGACGCGCACCCAGAAACAGATCACCCTTGCTAGAGCCACACGGCCGCTGGAGACCACGGTCGCACTAGTGGCTCACTACTCGAAAGGAAGCTATTATATATTCGAAAACAATGAAATATGGTACATTGGGCTTGGCACTCATTCATCTCTCACATTTGATGCACAAGGCCAAACAGCTACCACGACAGGCAGTGACGGCCAATCGGAATCTACAGCTGTCACCGGTTCACCCACGGACCTGATCAGAGAGTTTGTCTCCGAGTATTCCAGTCATGGGAAAATATTCGGTCAAGTGGGATTCAACTATTCAGCCCGATGTTCAGGCCAAGCTTTTGAGTCGGGTCAATGGCCAATGTTAAACCTCATCGTTCCTAGCGTGGGGGTTATTATTGAACGGAGTAAGGTCACTATCACGGGAGATGATGATGAGGATATACGCCGAGTAAGCGAGAAGACCGAAAGTATACTGGAAGCCGAGCTGGCCGAAGATATTGCCCTGTCGTCTCCTGTCGAAGGCAAAATAAACCTGAACGTGGACGCACAAACATATCAGACGCGCGTAGCTAATGCGATCGCGGATATCTCTGAAGCTAAATACACCAAGGCAATTCCATCCAGGAAAGTCCCCTTAGACTTTCGGGTTGATATGCTAGCAACCCTCCTTCACGGTCGACGGGCCAACAATCCCGCGCGCACATTCTCGTTCAACCACAACGGCATCCAAGCTACTGGATTCAGCCCCGAAGTCCTTCTCTCCATCAACGGCGACAAGGCCTATACAGAAGCGCTTGCTGGAACCCAACTGTCTGATTCAGCCAAAGCCAGCCTCGATCCTTTCAACAACAAGCTCCACGATGATATCAAAGAGGTCGCCGAGCATGTCATTGCTATTAAGGGCTCCATCCGTCGTTTGAGTAAACTGTGCGAACCGGAATCGATTGCGATCAAAGATTTCATGAAGGTCATGCCAAGAGGAAGCGTACAGCATCTTCATTCCCATGTGTGCGGAAGCTTAAAGCCTGGATGCGATGGTTGGGATGCTCTGCCCGGTCTCATAGCCAATATTACTGTGCCTGGGCTACCAGGAGAAGGCAACTCAGATGCAATGAAGTCCTTCGAGCCAGACCCGAGAGACCTTTATTGCGGAGCAGTGCTTATGCTGGACGAAGGATCGAAACTGTTTGATGCTACTCTGGTGCTTCGCACGGTTTTCCAGGATGAGAGTCGCCAGTGGTTACAGGCTGGGGCTGGTGTGACCATCAACTCCAAACCGGAACGCGAATATGCTGAAACGTGTGAGAAGTTGGGCAGTGTGGCGCCGTTCGTAGTTCCGGCTTCTAATCAGATTTGAGTATAAGGGTCAGTTAAGGAGTGGGTTGATCATGGCAATATCTACTTTGAAGAGCCAAACCCCATTGAATGCTGGCGAGCGTTGAAGGTCATGTCTGCATGAGAACGGTATTATTTTTGAGGCGTGGCATGGTGTCCACTCTCTCACTCACGTATTTGCGTAGACTTTGAGCACAATGAACTAGTAGGTGCCGCTGGCCCTCTTGTAGAACGAGGATTAACCCCATGTAGGTCATTGTATATATCTTGTGATATGTTTTGTGCCTGGATGGGCTGTTATATGGGCTCTTCGCACTAAATTTACTCAGGTATAATTACATGCAGTGACCATGGTAGAAGAGTCACCTAGCAGATTGATATTCTCTTACGCCGTGGCAGTGGCTAAGGTAAGTTTCATGAAACTACAAGAATCGAGGCCTCTAGTTCAGTATTTTAGCTTAAGCCTAGAAAGCTCCGGCAAACCTTATCTACATTCCTCCCTATGATTAGTGTCGGAAAGAAGCCAGAGGAGGGCATAAGTCTGGGCTTCACATAACTGCTCAACAACAGACAAATCAAGCTCTCTTTTCGATCAAGATGTAGTGTCGTCTCAAATTATGTATGCTCAAATCAAGCTATGTTACGAATGAACCTCCGTGGGATAGATACAGAAAGCAATGCACAAATTTACTCTTGATCCTGCAACTCCAGACCTCTATGTATAACGCGATAAATAGGATCACCTGTCTCCACGTATAGCTTTCCGAATAACGTCCACCTTGAGAACCCCATCCGAACCCAGGAATTCTGGGCGAGAACGCAACTGAATCCCTGGAGGGTCACCACAATCAACACTGTTGAACATCTGCTGGGCATCCGAGAAGGGCACCCGCCACTTCCACCAGATATCATCGCCCTCTATATCAGCGTCACCGGGAATCTCAAGTGGTTCCTCTGCATCTTCGAGGTTCTGAGCCCACATGGACAGCTATTTGTTGTATTGCATGACCACTGTCCTATCTCGAAGCGATCCTTCATCCATGATCGCGATCCAGTCTGGGTCAAGGGAGCCAGCCTCCCTCTTGCCTCAAGCTCGGCAATATTGGATAGAGTAAAGGAACGTAGCTCAGTGTACGTAGCCCCTTTGAAGCTAGTGGAGTAGTCGCCAATCAGGAGCTCGGTGCCCCAGTCTGGGAAAGAGTCGCGCTCGATATGCGTACGGCCTGGGGCCGGCTCAACCAATGTTGACCATTTCAGACTTGACCGCCCCTTGGGGTCCGGTCTGAATCAAGATTCGTGACAGGAAGCTTATATGCGACTTCCTTTTCCTGTTGATTGTATGGCCTCACCAGCGTAAGCCCCAGTGTAGAGAGATATAGATTGGTTCACACCTGCTAAGCGGATAGCAAAAATTTATCATGAACCACAACATCCTTGACAGCAAGAATGTATATACACCAAATTCCACAAAGAAAGCGATTGGAAAGCTGCCGACAATTAGAGTACACTCGAAGCTATACTCATAGCAATCTAACTTTCTACCGAGATGAAAGCCTTCCGCATTTTATCGCAGCCCTGCTTTGTGTTTCGGGTTTCCACCATGTCATTGCTCTTCCTGTAACCGATTCTTCGGTCCTACAACCGCGCTCCAATATCGGAGACACAAAGAACAATCCAATCCGAGCAGAGGTTGAGATCCGCGGAGAGGATGCTCTGTCTTACGATGTTGACTGCTGGGCCATGCTATGCAATGGGAAGCCTGCAGTAATGTGAGGGTGCCTAAGATAACTCTCACTTCGCAATTTTGACCTGGAGATGTAGGTATATGCTGACTAGAATCTAGGCAAAAGGTGAGCCAAAGGACAGCCGACAAGAACCGACAGGTAAAGTTCGGCAGTGCGGCCAAGAAACAACCATTCGCAAACCGAGCCAAGTATGGGATACAAGCCAGCCCTGCAACAAGTGCCTGGGCGGATCATCAGCCCTGGAAATCTGCGGAGGAATTTACTTTTGCATCAACTGCTGATGGTGGGAAAAAGTACGTCGTGTATACCCAGACCTTCACTTCTGACGCGGATTCATGGGCTAACTGGATGGCATCTGCCATCGCTTTTTTAGTGCAATCCTGGTCGGAGTCACGGACAACTCGCAGGAAGAGCAGAAACACCCCTTGCATACCTTATACCATGCAAACCAAACTCGGGCATATAACGAGACCTCGAAAAGCTCAGTAAGGTCGTGGTTCGAGATTACGAGGTATAACCAGGGCTGGGAGAACAGCTAGTGTTAGGTGAGTGGAAATCGTCTCTATCCGTTTACGTAATACGTGTGGCTATGCTTCCTTCTGCATCATTTTCGATATCTAGATCTGACATACTTATGAATAGGCCGTACTGCAAGGCATACAATGCCAAAGACATGAAAGTCTGCAGTGCGAGCACCAAGGTCATTGGTAACTGGGAGTTTGATGTGGCCGAGTATGCTCACATTTACAACCACCTGAAAAAGAAGTTTGAATATGTGGGGAGATGATTGTAATTTCCTTGCTGTCTTGAGTCAACTAGAGTCTAGAAAAGTTAGCGCTCTCGTTCCAATCTTTCCATAATCAGGATTTTGGATAGTTTGGTGTTCTTTTATGTATATTTTCTCTCCGAAAGATCTATTTACTTCTTGTCAGTAATTATGCTTTGATGCTCTGTAGTTGCTCTTTAGTTGCTCTTTCTTGTACACGTAAATGTGAACAACCAAACTCTGTTCTTTGGATTAGAAGTGACGGGTAGTACTTGGCGTTTAGACTATTAACAGTATACTCCTTACCCAGGACATCACAGTGCTAAGTTAAGGCAGTTGATGCTCAGGCCTTTCTGTTTACGATTGGTGAATGCTGTTTCACTGGCATAGAGTACCGTGCAGAATGCATAGTGCGCTTAATGTCATATTAGTATCATCATGCCATTTAGACCACGAAGTCAGTCTCTAGGGACAAGTATTGCCCATAGATGTATGAAACAGTGGGCCTTGTGGTAGTAACTCTGGAAGTGCTCTTGCTGGGAGGCCTCTACTAGAGTCATTATAGGGGCTATAATCATCTGGATCCAAATGACTTCAATGTACTTTTGATAGAAGCTCGAACATTCCTTCCAAAGCTTGTTTGCTTAATTTGGTCCACTTGATTGAAGAACATTTGCCTCTCTTGATTTCAAGCAAACAAGTATCAGCTCACACCCAGTGTTTGCATTCGAATAAAGGTGAATGGGCTTGCCAGGTCTCTGGAACAAGTTCAACTTCGTGCGCACATACTGCTTCCTTCCGTCTCCCAACTGCATGATGTCTACGATTTTCGTTGGATACATCGGCGCACTCATCACCATGGCAGATGCATTTTACCCCTGGCTGTTAGCTGTGGCCTGCGCACTCCTGATAACAAATGTGCTGTACTACTCGGTGATTGAGGTACGGTCAGGTCTGCCTCTCCACCTTGGTACGGCGAACTAACACGTCACCAAACAGAAAAATCATATCACCAACATCCGGAATGTAGTCCGTGACTTCGTACGTGATGCGGCCACGAGCAAAGCGATATATGGTTATGAATATATTCTAACCTCCGCAGCGTGACCATCGGTACTACCGTCCCTGGGCGCCGGAGCCAATCATGATCCCAGCAACCAAAAAAATAATGACCGAGCTCAGCGAGACATCAGTCTTATCTCAGCGAGCGGTCTATTCAGACGTAAGTCCGCCAAATTAGAATAATGGCACAGAGCTCTAACCTTCCCAGCTGTTCGGATTCAAACATACGTTGAACGGCGCAGACCACAACGAGGTCAACACGAGAAAGTCGCGTCTTCTTAGCCGGGTTCTTCAGGTGCGAGGTCCGACCCAGTTCGAGGAACTATACCCGTATCTTCTTCATCACCTGAAGACCATTGTGGATGCGAAAATCTCTTCTGGTACGTTCGCTCGCTGGAAATCGGTTACTAGCATACCTGCCAAGCTATATTGTATCAGTCATTGAGTTGACTTGCCAGGAGGCACTACGTCTATCCGTCTAGCTCTATTTAGCGAAACGATCCTCTCACGTCTCATGGGCGCGTGGTTTTTCGGGGGGAATATGAGTAAGTTCTATCCCTACTGACCACAGTTTGACGAAAATGCCACTCTGAACGCGAATAATTTGACTACAGCGTCTGACCCGCGTCTTCGAGACGCCTTGTTGAATCACCCACGCCAGATCAAAGCATGTTCGGCTGCATTTCAGCTAACTCCAAGATTTATTGCACCGTATGTTTAAAGTCAACAGTCGCTATGCGGGTACTCTACTAACTTACTCCATTCATCTAGTCTCGTCCATGCAATGATCACCTGGCGTGGATCGGCAATGCACCTGATCCAAGACAGGCTGATTGACGTGATAACTGCTGGAATTGATATTTTGGATGAAAAACCAGAGATCAAGAAGGTTTGGGCTAATATTCTAGAGCTTTACTGCAGCATGGGATCTACCCCGACTAATGATCGTGGTCCACAGTTGACACTCCTTTATCATATGGTTGACTTATCGACAGCAGACCGCAGCTACTGGACACCAGAGAGACTTTCCCAATCACTCCTGGGCCTCTGGCTAGCAGCTTCGCACCAGCCGTGGGTAAACCTACACGCAATTCTGGTTGAGTTGTGCCTGCGGCCCGAGTGGCAGGATGCGCTCCGAGACGAGGCCCTGCAGAGCCAAGACGACCTTGCAAGCAAGATCAACGAGCTACCACTTTTGGATAGTTTCGTGCGAGAAACTGCACGAGTGAATTCCTTGGATAAAAGTAAGTAGATTTTTCAGGTGCAGCCCTGCCAGCTGAGTCCTGGGCACTTGTGTCTCTAATTCCTTCCCTTCGGGACTCTGGGTGTAGTCGCGATCCGCCGCAAAGCCCTGACCGATTATTCGTTCTCGTCCGTGCCCCTCTCTATTCCGGCCGGATCAATCCTTTGCGTATCCTCGTACGATGCCACACGCAATGAGCACATCTACCCGGACCCCGAGAAATTCGACGGCAAGCGATTCATTAACGGACGATGCAAAGATACATCGAACAAATTTGCCGACGTCTCTGAGAATCATTTGATCTGGGGCTATGGATCTCTCGCTTGGTTTGCTCAATACCCATCAATATATTTTGTCACGGCCTATACTAACCGGTCCCACTTAGCCCAGGAAGACACCATGCTGCTTTTATGATCAAAATCATCGTTGTGCATATTGTGACCAACTATAGCTTGCGATTGGCGGACCCTGAGGCACCGAGATGGTGGACTTGGGAGGATTTCCGCATGCCCTTTGCGTCGACGCGAGTGCTATTTAGCAAGAGGGCGACTGAGGACGATGGTCGTTCTTGATTCTCACGCCCAAAAGTGCAGGGTGAAAGTGTCTTGGTGACCTGGATGTCAGGACTGGACGGGCAAACTTTTGTCGACCGCGCTTGATTAGGTATGGCTGAGAAGATGGGGAACCCTGTCCTCCACAACATGTAGTATTATGTACAATTCTAGTCACGAACTGGGGTGATAGGGTACTAAGGATTTCAAGAAGTCGACGAAATCTGAGCGAGGTCGTATCAACCAGGGGAAGGAATTGGGGTTAGGGGGAAGTTATTGGAGACGAAAGTGCTATTTGTGCTACGGATGAGAGCAGGGTTATTATGGACATTGTGAAGGGAAGTATTCTAAGAAAACAAGTCGATAATCAAATTATTACTGTAATATCAAGAATTGAGAACCGCTCACTTCCACATCGCAAACATCGAATCCGTAGACTCTTCCTTTAGGACGCCATACGCTCAGCACGAGCCTGCAGCTTCTTGACCAAATCGATAGCATCCTTGGTAGCATCATCCAAGCTCTCCTCCGGCAATCCAAGCAGCTCATTCTGCACCTTGTCCAAGTGATCACTCGGATCCTCCGGGTAAAACCCTCTTGCGTACAGCAACTTAGCAAATCCAGCCATGTTACCACCCTTAACCAGAGCCAATCCCTCCTCATACCGCTTCTTAGTACTCTCAAGAGTAATCGTCCAATTAGCATCCGTAGTCCCAGTAACACGTTTGACACTCTCAAACATATCCTTCTGGTTGACAACGAAGCTCTTGATGTAGAACGACTTATTCAGGAACGACGACAACGTAAGACTCTGATCACTCTCATCCTCGGGAAGCTCCTTAAGACTGAGCACCTTCGCCACGGCCCGCCCAACCTGCGCCAACGTCGACGTCGTGTTCTTAGTAGTGCCATCATCGTAGAAAGTCACAGTCCGCTTGTCAAAGTCGAACCCGAAGCGCACTTCTCCGCCCGCCAAGCTATAGTCGTACCAGAATCCACAGCACACATTAATCCACTGCATACCGAGCTGGGCGACCTGGTCTCGGTTGGCTTTTTGGATAGGGCCGAGGAAGGTCTCCTCGCCTAGCTTGACCTTGTCGATGTCCCCGCCGTACCCATTCGGCATGATGTAGGGAATACCGGCCTTGGCGGCTGCCTGGACGATCTTGCTGTGGGTGTCCCGGGGCGCTGTGGGGGACATGGTGATGATGAGGAATTGCTGGCCCTTCAGGGCGGAGACAATGCTTGCTTCATCATTGTAGTTGATATGGGCGATTTGGACCCCTTCAGGGAGTTTGTTGGTGCTGTCGGCCCGGGTCAGGGCTGTAACTGTGTGTTTGCCGGTTTTGAGGAGCTCGGTGGCGATGTGGAATCCCACGGTGCCTCCAGCCTGAAGGTGTGTGTTAGTGATGCTGTGTATGGCGTTTGTGATAGGCAGAGTGACTTACTCCGATGATGGCGACGCGCTCGATGACGTTCTCGAAGCCGGCGGGTTGGTCTTTTGCGTACTTGGCCATTTCGTTTGCTTTTTGGGCTTGAGGTTGAGTTTCTTTGAAAGGTGTAGTGGGAATACTGTTGTGTTTGAGTGTAGTGATTGAGCTCGTGTGGATGCTGAACTGAAGTGAGGGCGAGCGTCTATTTATGTGTTGGAGGTCAAGTGTCGATCCTTCTACTTCAATGACTTTGGACCCAAACCAGACTGCATCACATTTCAAATCTCGGAAGTCCTAGCCCCGACACGATCGGACTTAAGGGATTACCACCATCGCCGATTGTAATTGGGCGGCTTTCGCCCACTGAAGGAGCGTAAGGTGATGATGAGGTGAGATTCCCGCTCATCTCCGCCGCCGCCGCCGCACGCCAACAAGAGCGGCGATGCGGAGATAGTCAATTAACTCCGCACTAGCAAGAGTATCGCCGCAATAGCCGCATCAACGCCGCTCACGTGGTTGCATCTTTACGATTCTGAACATCGAAGTTCCCAGTAAGCAGTATGGTATCTCTTGCAGCATAACTACTCTCCGGAATACATATTTACAGTCCGCATAGTAAGTCCCACTATAGCTGTACCTCACCACCGAACATCGGCAGATACGGCCCGAGAAAGAACTGATCCCAGTACAGCTCCCAGCTTATGTCAGGTATAGAGGCGTTGGCCTCTGGTT